TGGTTTTGGGGGGTGTAGTAGCACTTTTCAGCCAACAGGTAGTGTTGGTACAGCTCCAAAGCAGGGCCTGCTGGCGACCTTGGCTGACTGCAGCTGAAGGCAGGAGTCGATGGCGGGAGCCGGAGCCGGCACTCAGGGAGGAGGGGAATGCCGCACTCACAGCGGTTTTTCGCTGGTCTCGGGGCTAAACTGGGGAACTAAGACCGGACTAGCTGCTCCTTTTTTCGGGAATGGAACCGTGTAGGCGTTCCCTGGTTATATGGAACTTTGCAGGTGGGTTTAGGTACCCGCCAGCCGGGGAGGAGACTGAGGGTGGGAGCCACCCAGGCCTTTGGAATTTGCCCCACGTGAGCGCCAGATATTGGTGAAATTATTAAGGCCACTCCACGTAGTTAAAAGAAAGATTTATTTAGTGGGTAACTTACAAATGAAGGGATAGGTAGGTCGCAGGGTCTGGGGAAGGTGTATTGCAGTCCAGCGGTGTTCTCTGGAGCTCTGCTCAGTCAACCTCCACCTTCCAGGGTCCAGGAACAGAGAGAGAGCTGGCCCATCCCGATCTCGGGTCTCCAGGGTCCTCCCTTGGCCCCACCTTGTAGGCGTGACAGTTGCCGAAGCCTCAATGGGGGTTGGAACTTCCAGATTAAAGCTGGAATGGCTACCCACTACACTACACTATTTAAAGACAGCCCAAATTTGATTTATAAGAAGTTATTGGCTGAGAAGCTCAAGAATTTTAACAAATCTCAAGCAATAAAAATACAAAGCTTGAACCAAAACAATAAAACAAAACCAGAAACTGCACACAGAGAGCAATTGCTCTAATGTACAGGCAGTTCCTTTCCAAGCATCCCAGCATAAGGGAATCACACAGGAAGGTTTTAAAACTCCCGATGTTCAAGTCCCACCCCAAGGCAGCTGAATATCAATCTTTGGGGTGAGACCCAGATATGAATATTATCAATCCAGGAAATTCCAAGGTGCAGCCAAGATTGTAAACAAATGCTGAGGGTCCTCTTTCAGAAAGAAAGACAAAAACTCCCTTGGACTGTCTTTGGATTTTGGAGGTAGTGTTCCGCAGGTGTGAACGTCCAACTGCTTCCCATCCACCGATAAACATAAAAGGCATGGACAGGAGATCTCCAACTGACCCAGGCTACAGGCGAGTTACCTTGGCCCGGTGGATGCTGATGGCGAGCATGGCCTACATAGTTGAGTAGGTTTGAGGTCAATGGCACAGGTAGTTGAAGGCTATAGCTCACCTTGACAGAACACTTGAAGCAAGGGCCACTGAATTCCAGTTCACTTCTTTAGTGCTTGCTTGTTAGTGTGTGTTGCGTTGCTACCACACAATACTGGAGTCTGGGTGCTTTACAAAGGAAAAACTTTGTGGCCTCTAGTTCCAGAGGTCCAAGAGCGTGTCACTGGAATCTGCCGAGTTTCTGGTGAGAGCCTTGCAGCGGTTCAACTCACAACAGTAAATCAGATGAACTTTGTGTAGAAGAACATAGGTTTGAGAGATGGAGGGGAATTGGCAAGCTTGCTCGTTAACAACCCACCTCATAGAAACCGATCTCCAGAGCAATGGCTCACTCAGAGAAAGGCAATAATCCCCATTCAAGACCCAACACAACTCAACACTGCCCTATTGGGCTCAGACCTCAATGTGAGCTTTACCCTTGGAGCAGAAGACCAATGTGTCTCTCCTTTAAATCAGCATGGCTATGATGGTCTCCCCTTTCCTCCATGCCTTTTTATTAACTGTAGTATATTTAGAAGTTATTTAAGCTTACTGTTCATTTCACAAGCTGCAGAACACACCTGCAGCTGTCCAAGCAGGACACATGGGCCCTGCCTTTGACCATCAGACTTCTCAGACAGTGTACCCTAAGGAATTGGCACATCCTCCATAGGAATCTTGTGTTGAAAAAATTTAAAAAAAAGGCTGAAGACTGGTGCCCACCAGAGGAGGAACCATCTCCTGGAAAGAGATTTCCCATAGTTCCATAGCATATCAGACAGTCTTCAGGATGGACTGGAGTGGGGACGCTGATGACTGTAACACCTCACCTCAGCCAGGAACACCTAGTCATGCATACCCCTTACTTTCTCTTAAACATAAACCTCATGTCAGAACTCCTAAGAAGGGCTTGAGGGTGGCTGTCACTGGAACTCTTTATTTATTCCTCTTCCTAATGTGGCCACATTGAATAAATCTCCTTCCTGTGATTTTCACCATGACCTGTTCCCTCAGGGGAGGGGGTGAGAAGATGTGTCAATGACACAGACACTGGGAGTGGTTGAGAAGCAAACAGCAGACTCGTTTATTCAGTAACGGGAAAGACCTTACTTACATGACCTAGTTCTTTAATTAGGCTAGTGGGATGTGTGGCCAAGCTTAGCTAGCTGGAGCTGCCAGAGCCCAGACTCTGACCCTAGAAGCAGGTGTTAAACACTCTAAGAAACCCTGATTTATCCGTAGACACCCCGTATCCTCCTGTGCAAGGGGGCTGTGCTCAAGTGTTGCAGAATGACCTTGGATCATGGCTGGAGGGTGTCTGGGTTCACAGTCGGAAGTGGCAGCTACTTCTCCAGGGCAGACACCCAGTTACAGCCATAGAGCTGGTGGCCACACCTACGGCAGCTCTCTTAGGACAGCACCATTTTCAGCTTTGAGACCCTCTATGTCCTTGGTTCTTGCTCATGTCCTGGCTATGGAGATGTGATTAGGAAGCGTTCACAAGTGATACAAAAAAGAATGATACAAAAGAGAGAAGAGGGCAAAGGAGAAGAAAGGTGGCCTATGGACTTGCTGATTTCCATGAGGGCTTCAAACGCCACAGTGATGTCACCCATCACCGGCTCTCACAAGCATGCTAGTCACCTCTCCCTTGTCTTCCATAGATCACTGCACTAGCCCTCCAATCAGCTCCTGTGGGGCTTAAACAGATCAAGGCTGCTCCCGGTCTTCATAACCAAGCTGTTTAGCCAAGACCATAACCTCTTTCCCTCTGGACAGTTACAGCCAAGTCATTGTAAATGTTCTGACTTTTGCATACTTTTCACAGCGGCATCCCTTAAGCTTGTAGGGCTAGTTTCATTTACATGCAGAATTAACACCATTTCTATAAATTTGCCACCTTCAGCAGCACCAAACAGAGAGTGTTTCTAATCCCTTCAGAAACTGGTTATCTTTGGAACCCTGCCCTCTGGTGCCCACTAGAGGGCACTCCTCTGTCTGTGCTTTGGATTCCAGGGAGGAAGTGAGCGCTTCAAGTCCTGATGCTTAATCAGGCTATTCATTTCCCACACAAATGAGATGTTTCTGCTAGTGAAATCTGAGATTGGCACTAATGACATTTCTTGGGGTGGGGCTCACCATCCTGTGCATCTGTGCATTGTGAATCGTTTGCAGTGTTCCTTGTATCTACCCACTAAATGCCAGTAGTGCCCACACTCACACACCAGTTGTGACAAGCAAAAAAAAAAAAATGCAGATATTGCCACTGCCAAATGGCTGTGAGGGCAGGGAAAGGAGCAAGTCCCAAGCTGAGAGCCACTGATTTGCTGATGGGCAAATGCATGCCAGACCTACTGTCCCCAAATCGTCACCAAAACCTGTCAGCTCCAGCTTAGAGCCTCAGCCTGGACATGAGCCACAACCCTTGCGCTCCTCACCTTGGGAACCACAGGAAAAGGGTTCTGTCTGTCAGACTATGAAGGAGGAAGTTGTGGCAGCAGGGACATGAGGCAGCTGTCATGCTGTACCTACAGTCAGGGAGCTACTGGGACTGCACCTGCTTCCTTTCTGTGTCAGTCAGTCTTGGACCTCATATTGACAGGTGCCATCCAGTCAGAGTGGGTCTTGTTACTTCAGCCAACCCAATCTAGTAACTCCCTTATGGACAAGCCCAATGCCTTTTACACTGGGAGTGTGGGGGACAGGACATGCCTGGGCTGGGAAAACGGCTGAGTTATAAATTTGATTCCTGAGAGCCCACATAAAGTATCTGGGTGTGAGAACTGGCTTAAAAGATAGGGAGAACTGAGGAAGACATCAGTATCAACCCCTGGTTTCCAACACACACACACACACACACACACACACACACACACACACACACACACACACACAGACTTCTGAGGCATGATGGGATGTTGCTGCACTCACCCACACTTTTAGTAAATGCCTGTGTGCCTGTGAGATAGGTGACATAAGAGAGCTGGCTGGTGCAAAGGCACACAGCAGCCTGGACCTTGAGGAACTCACAATCCCGGAGGGGTCCAATAAGGAAATCTCATTTAGAAAAGAACGCCTTATTCCAGTTACAATTACCAGATCGCAGGCCTGCAAAGCCCATAGCCAGCGAAGACCTTAGGTAAGGCTGGAGCCAGTCAGGACTGTCCCCAGGGACTAGCTTCCCCTGGCGCCTTGCTCTTTCCCCTACTTTGCTTTACCCTAAAGGTGACTGCCCTAATGTAGCAGTTCCCGAATTTTTGGTAAAGCACCTGAAATTCACTGTTTGGAATACTTGGGTCACATTCCCATCCCTCAATCAGTCATTCCCACACACGAGCTGGAAAGAACAGATGAGCTTAGCCAAGATAATCCCCTCCAAACATAGCTCCCATATCCACAGACATGACGGGTTCCCTAGAGGCCAGACTTCTGGGGACAGGAGAGCCACAAACCCTGGCTGAACACAGGGCAGCCAAACAGTGCCCTCATGTACTCTGCCTCTTACCACATGGCTCTGCCAGGCAATTTCATATGCGCACACACACACACACACACACACACACACACACACAGAGCTTTATAACTTGGGAGTGACAGTCAAGCCTGCTATTTGTGGCTATCTCTGTAATAGGGCAAGTCCAGGAGGTCATGACGGCTTTTCTAAGCCTAAAGTCCTAAAATTCTGTGTCATTATAGACAACCATAATTGATACTTTTGAACATCTCTGGGAGAAAATGCATAATCCATGACCAGACCAGAATATACTGAGAAAATAATTTATTCAATTGTAAACCAGAATTTTTATTTTAAAAATGTTTAAAACATTACCTTTAATAACATTCTAAATTTACTCATTAAGGATTTAAATTTAGATGAATATTTAAAAATCATGAAATTCCCTCAAAATTTCTTCAGCCTTTTGCTACACTTTCAGAGCAGATCATTTCTTTGGTTCAGGACTTCACACATCAAACTCTCTTCAGTCTGGATCCAGCACAACCTGAACGACAGGGAGGTGGGGTTCTTAGCCAGTGTGCAGTCTCCACTTCCTTCTGCAAAGCCCACTCTTTCAGGAAATTTGTGAGGTTTTTTTTGTTGCTGCTGGGTATATGACTTTTTTTTTTTAACACCTGAAGAGTAAGAGGTGGTGTAATGTGGACAAAATGTAAGATGGTTTTTTTAATTGAAGCTCTTCACACTATACGTTGAGAGTGCAACGGCTTTTTAAATAAATTGCTTGAGAACAGAAACAGACGGCACAACTGGAAGACAAGCAAAATAAATATGCACACATGGAAATATGAATATGTGCATACATGGAAACATGAGCCAACAACCCCCTTATACCGATTTGCTTACATTACCATATAGAGCAGTGGTTCTCAACCTTCCTAATGCTGCCACCCTCTAATACAGTTCCTGCTGGGGGATGCCTTTCTGTATGCTGTGGTATATGTTGTTCCCATTGGTTAATAAATAAGCTGCTTTGGCCTATGGTAAGGCAGCTTAGAGGCAGGCGGGAAATCCAAGGAGAGAGACAGGAAAGAGAAAGGTGGAGTGGGAGAGACGCCAGCCTGCTGCCCAAGGAGCAACATGCCAGCAGACCAGTAAAGCCACAGAATATGTGGCAAAACACAGATTAATAGAAATGGTTAATTTAAGATATAAGATCTAGCCAGCAAGAGGCCTGCCATAGGCCATACAGTTTGTAAAAAATATTAAGCCTCTGAGTGATTATTTTATAAGCAGCTGCAGGACTGTGGGACCGGGTGGGACCAGAGAAACTTTTGACTACAAGTTTCTCATGTTGTGGTGGCCCCAACCATAAAATTATTCATTGGTACTTCATAATTATAAATTTTGCTGTTATAAATCAAAATATAAATATCTGATATGCGACCATTGTAAGGGTTGCGGCCCATAGTTTGAGAACCACTTACAGAGAAGTGAAGCTTCTCTCAGAGAAGGGAACTGAACGTTTAGCAGCTCAGTTATGGTGACTGGGTCTCCCATTGCTATAGTCAGTTACCCATGTTGTCCAGTACATCTGTCTGGCTATCACACTTGCATAGTGTAGACAGAGCAGGGGGAAGCAAGGTCACATGATGGAGGGCTTTCTCTTCATGTCAGCCCTCCAGACTGGAACATGATGGGCTGAGGAACCTTGAGGTTCAGAGCAGGTGGTAGGACCAGATGATGACCGAGTGTCTTCTGGCAGAAATCGGGTCCTCTCCTTCCGTAACGCCACCCACTCACCTTCTATTCCATTCCTGCTATTAGTCATTGTCAAGAATGGTGCCTGTATTTACACCTCAATTCAAGCACCAACTCCATGCCATGTCCCTCCAGCACAGCACAGTCTCTAGGTGGTCAGCCCCACATTTACTGGGACTCTGGACATGTGCCACCATGACACCTATCAGCGCTCTCGACCTTCCTTATGCACAGCCATACAATTAAGCCATTAAGCCAAACAATAGCTTAATGGGGTCTTGATGCCATCGGCTGTAAAAAGCCTTTGAGGACCATGTTGGTGTCCTTATACAGTTCTCTTCTGCAAAGTCTCTCTGTGTTGCTTTAGAATCCCCACAACCAGGAAGGCAATGAACCAAGGGGACAGCACCCCCCCCCCACTCCGATCTAGCCCATTTTGTTGCCAAACATTTCTCTTAGCACCCTGTTCTCCAATAGGCTATCTGGCATACTAGGTAGAATGTTCTGGCTTTTTCTTTACCTATGGCAAATCAATTTTGATTTCAGCCTATACAGTATTTCCCCCAAACCCAGAATATATAAGAAATCACTGAGAATTTACATCTGATTACTTACCATAGACTCTTTTTCACATATTACAAGGCTCAAAGTTATAAGGAGAAATAGTATGTGTTTGCCATGTTGGTGGGTTTTGGTTTTGATTTTCAAGTTAAAAATTAACTGTTACTACTTTTTTGAGGAATTAGCCAGAATAATTCTGTCAAATTTAGAAATCTACCAGCACAATTTGAAGTCAGACATTACTTCTAACCAAATTATACTCCTTTGTCTGCCAAGCTATCTTGACATTTTTAATTTCTGAAGGCAAGCCTATCTGATAGTCCCAACAGTACTCTGGGGATAAGACTTTAGTGGGTTTGTTGAAAAGGAAGTATTTGTTAAGGTGGCTTTCATCATGCCACTTGGCTTCTATGTTGTTTTCCTTGTCCTGGAGGATTCCCTCAAAGCACTCCCGGGTGAGGTTGAGAATGCGAGTGGGTGTTCCTCCAAAAATGGCTGCATGGTAATAAAAATCCCCCTGTCCAAATGGGATGTACGCTGCCGACAGCTCCCGCCTCTCATAGGTAAACTCGTCATGATCGGCCTTGTACCACCAGGCCTGGAGCTGAGCTACCAACTGACCCAGAGTCTCCACACCAAAGTTGTCTTGAAAGACCTGATCCACGTCCATGCAGAAGAGGAAGTCGACTTCGTGCTGTATGTGGGCCAGGATGTGCTCCCCGATGGTCTTCATGCGCATCATGCTGATGTCTTGCCACCTCTTCTCAGATTTGATCTCAAACACTTGTAAGGAATGCAGAGGACTCAGGTGTATAAAAGGCATTCTGGAGGTATCGTCTATCATGACATAAAATATGACCCTGTGGCCAACCATGAAGTGCCTGTTAGCAGACTCCAGAAAATCTTCCAAGTAATGCTCAATGTACCTGAAACAGAGAGGGACAAATTTAACCCCACGCTATGACACTCAGATGGTCTGTATTTTGTGTTTAGGAGGGGAATGACTTCTGCACACACCAGTTACGTGTTCTCATGTAGAGGACACATGTTTGTACAGCACCCTGGCTGTTCTCCACCAGCTCGTCTCCCTGTCCTTGAGGAGAGTGGAGCAACTTCTTCTACCACCAACTTTGTAAGAACACCTGGGCAGGCACAGCCCTGTCCTCTTGCTCTTGGAGGCCAGCCAGTCTGAGAGTGTGTTCTCAACTACTCCACTTTGCACTAAGCTCCATGCTAAGGCTCTGTTCTCCTATTTAGAAGCCTGCTGTCAAAGAAAGTGCAGCTCTTGAATAGCCCGAAATGTTGCTACTCCCAGGCCAAACACAAAGTATGTTGCTCAAGTTCACTGAGGATTCATAACATCTTATCTTCTCTGTGTTAGGTTAAGTCTAGCCACCAGCACTGTCCCATCCACTCTGTGGTACAGGGAATGGTGTGTCGAATGTAGATCTACACCCACACTGCGTGGTCATTCTACAAACCTCCCATTGGTTGCCCCAAATGCCAGGGTATCATCCAGACAAATATGATGCTATGAATCCTCCAAATACTTGAACAGTCTCTGATTTCACCTCCGTTTAACTTTTTTTTTTTTTTTTTGAGACAGGTTGTCATATATACCAGGCTAGCCTCAAGCTCACTATGCAGCCAAGGATGGCCTTGAACTTCTCATAGTCCTGCTAGGATTATGTGTCACAGCATCTGCAGTGTCTGGGATTAAACCCAGAGCTTCACGTACATCATGCAGTCAACCACCTAAGCTACAGTCTGGCTGTATTTTAACACTTCTGTCTTTTTATTTTTTTTTATTTTTTATTTTTTGGTTTTTCGAGACAAGGTTTCTCTGTGTAGCTTTGCACCTTTCCTGGAACTCACTTGGTAGCCCAGGCTGGCCTCGAACTCACAGAGATCCACCTGGCTCTGCCTCCCGAGTGCTGGGATTAAAGGCATGCGCCACCACCGCCCGGCTCACTTTTGTCTTTTTAAAAAAGCATTCTTGAGAGCAATTTTGAATTCTGAGCAAAACTGAGCTGAAAGTATTGGGAGTGTCCATATCCCTCCTGCCTAGATGCCCTTTCCTGCTAGGACCACCCACGTTCCAGGTGTTAGTCTGTGGCGGCTGTCACTTCCACACTGATGCATAGTTTATCCTAAGGTTCACTTTGGGAAATGCGCAAAAGCACAATGTCGAGTGTACCCACCGCTGTGGTATCATTCAGAATAGCTTCACTGCCTTAAGAATCTTCTGGGTTCTTCTTTTTCCCTTCTCTCTCCCCCAGCTCCTCAGTCACCAATTCTGTTCCTGACACTATAGTTTTGCCTCTTCCAGAATCATAAGCAGAAGCAGGTCAGAACGGACCTGTCCTAGGGTTATGTTGCTCTGGTGGAACACCAAGACCAAAAGCAAGTTCAGAAGGAAAGAGTTATTCAGATCACACCTTCACATGGTAGCCAACAGAAGTCAGGACAGGAACTCAAGCAGGGCAGGAACCTGGGGACAGGAGCTGATGCAGAGGCCATGGAGGGTGCTGATCACTGGCTTGCTCCTCATGGCTCGCTCAGTCTGCTTTTTTATAGAACCCAGGACCACCAGCCCAGGGATGGCACCACCCACAGTGTGCTGGGCCCTCCCCCATGGACCACTAATTAAGAAAATGCTGGAGTCGCCAAAGAGGAGGAGCCTCAGTTGAGAAGATGCCTCCTCAGATCCAGCTGTAGAGCATTTTCTGTGACAGGGACCAGCAGCGCCAGCACAGGAGCCTTTCCAGATCAGGTTCTTCACTTAGTGACAAGTGACAAAAATTCCTCCTTGCTTTCTGTGGCTTTATAGCTCACTTTTTAGCACTGAATAATATCCTATTGTCTGAATTGACCACAGTTCATTTTTACATTCACCTGTCAAAGGAAAACTTGTTTGCTTCCAAGTTTTAGCAATTATGAATAAAGCTCCTAAATATATCTATGTAGGTGTTTGTGTAGACATGTTTTCAACTCACTTGGGTCAATACCAAGGAATCTGATCACTAGATTATGATAAGAGCGTGTTCAGTTTTGCAAGCAACTGCCAAAATTTCCTCCAAATGGCTGCACTGTTTTGTATTCCCACTAGCAACAAACAAGGGTTCCGATTACTTCACATCTTTTCCAACATTTGGAACTGTCGGGGTTTTTTTCCATTCTAATAAATGAGACATGTCAATTTGACTATTTACTCATTTGAGTGACATTATAGTGATGCTCCTACAAGCTCAAGCTACTTCCCAAGTCATACCAAGGAGACCTCAGAGATGAGAGGCGTCACGTGGGCCTTTTCCAAACCTCGAACTTACACACAGAGAATACGGATCACAGTTAGTTACTGAGCACACAACTAGCCAATCACAACGTTCTGAATGCAGTAATGACTGGTATTTTCTGTTTTGTTTTGTTTTTCTTGATGCTTGGGCTGCTCTTTGCCATTGAAATAAACTGCACTTTTACTGTTGGCATTGGGAAGCCCCGGGTTTCTAGGACTGATTCTTTACATGAGGCAAACACAGCTCAGTGGTAAAAGAGGGCTCTGACATGACCCCATGGCTGGGGGTCAGGACAGACTTCTGTACTCTGAAATTTAGAAAACCAGTGTGCCCTGAAACTTGGGAAACAATACTTAGGGGTGTGTGGGGTGGAGTCAGTGTGACACCCAGTGACATTTAAGAGGTTAAAATACCACAGTTAGCTCCAGGCACTGAAATAAAAACAAAGCAAATCTCACACCTCCCTGAAGGTCCGGATGCATTTCCTCTGCAATTCACTGTTGCAGACTTGCCTAGCTGGGGAGCACGGATTTCACCAGGAGGTGGGAGGGACTCAAGGGGCTTTTTTGTTGTTTTGTTTTCCGTTTTTCTGCAAAGTTGTGGTGGGATGGTGGATAGTATCATAGGACAGTGGGTTCGTTCTGTTCTTTGGGGAACACCAGGCAGGATCAAATCAATGTGCAGTGTGGCTGTCTTATCCCTTCTGTGACGAGGGGAGTTTTGCTGAGTGGAGCCCTGAATCCCACCCCAAAACAACACAATTTTATTCTTCTAGTGAAATGTCCAAACTGCACACCACTGTTTCCCGATGGCATGCCATTAGGCTCGGGGACTCAGCACACTGAGCAATGTTGGAACTTCCCAAAGACAGTCATGGGCACTGGGGGTCCTGTGACAGCCTCACAGTGCCTTCTTTGAGGTCCTTGTCAAAGCCCAAGCTCAGGCCAACCTGCCCCTTCTGCTCCATTTGAACATGGCAGGGAGCTGGGCATCCTGCATATTTTGTGGCTTTTTTATAAGAGGCATCAACACAGAGGCCCAGAGGGCAGATAAAGAGGCACGTCCAGCAAGCGTTCCGGTACGTAGGGGTACTTGCTGCCAAACCCGAAGACTTGAGTTGGATCCCCAGAACCCACACTGTGGAAGAAGAGGGCTGACTCCGGACAACTGTCCTCTGACCTCCACACGCATGCTTTTTTTAAAAGCACACGGTGATTCTCTCAGAAGCCCACACTCTCCAGCATGTCTTACTTTGTTGGTAGCTCTCTCATAATCCTCACTCAGCCTTTCTTAAAACATCCTTAAAACTCGGGCGGTGGTGGCGCACGCCGCCTTTAATCCCAGCACTCGGGAGGTAGAGGCAGGTGGATCTCTGTGAGTTCAAGGCCAGCTTGGTCTACAAAGCAAGTTCCAGGACAGGCTTCAAAGCTACACAGAGAAACCCTGTCTCAAAAACAACAACAACAACAAAATCCTTAAAAATGAAACTCTGCCTCAAAAAAAGAAAAGAAAAAAATTAGAAATTAAACCTAATGTTTTATTTTAGGGGAAAACATTTTATTCACTAAGAAAAAACAAAATGGGTTATACTGTAAAACCAATGGCACAGCTCAAACTTTGGTAAGAATGATTACAATTTTCCTGCATCAAATGTTCTGAATAAGGAAACAGAAGCTGGGGCAGCCAGAACCTGTTTAGTCTTAGCAGGTTCTGCCCACCCAAACACCAGGATCAAATCCTCCAGGATGATCAGGTAGACAGGACCAGAGGAACCCACGAAGGAGCAACAGCCACACATCGGCATGGAGGTCATGGTGCACAGAGCACACTCCTGGAGCTTGTGTAAGCCCCTGTCCATGGCCCTGGGCGTGCCGAGCACAGGAGGAACACTCACATCCCAGCCAGCCAACAGCTGGCACTTGCTGCCTCCCTAGGAAAGCCCTGGAGGTCGGGGAGGAGGGAGCGGTAGGTATGCTGGTGGCTCTTGGATCCAGTGGCACTGAAGACAGTTTCCCTCCCCTCTGTGGTGGGAATGGGTGGACTTACCTACTATTGCTTTTGTTCCTCAGCCTTCATCAGAAAGGAGACAGAAGTCTCCTGTCTAGTAACTCGGACAAAGTAAGGCCTCCGTGTTGCTATGGGTCCCTCACAAACAAGACTTCGATGGTAGAACAAGAGAAAAAACGAAAGGCCAGTCTGCCAGTTTGCTTACTTTCCCACAGCAAAAACCGTCAGCCCCACGGTGATTCTCCGTCTGGCGTAATACTTTTCCAGCACCGCTCTGTCGTAAGTGCCTTCCCACACGATGGGCGCCTTCCACGGAGTCACTGACAAAACCTCCGGGCGGTTCCTGGACACAGAACATGCAGCACCGTGAGTCAGAACCTCTATGGACGGTAAGAGGATGGCCAAGGAAGAGGAGGCCAGCAAGATCCGTGGCAACCGGCCCTGAATCCCGAGTGAAGCTTCATCCCCAAGTGCCTGAATAGGTGTGACATGGGCGTGGGTAGCACTGGGCCCAGGCACCTCTGAAGGCTGCTCCGGCACCTTCTTGGATTCTCACTGTCTATTCATGTAACCAAGGCTGACCTCAAACTCCCTATGTAGCCAAGGATCACCCTGAACTACCAACTCTCCTTTTTCCATCTTCCAAGTGTGGGATTACAGGCATGGACCACCCCTTTAGGAGGTGCTGGGAACAGAACCTACATTCCGTGTGCTTGGTAGGCACTCTACCAACCGATCCACATCCCAGACACCTTTGCGTTTCTCTCCAGGCCCTAACTGACATGTTTGGCTTTTTATTTGTCCTTGGGAATATCATCAGAGCCTAAGAAGACCCTCAGATGTGATGCAGGGGGATGAGCGAAAGAAGTCGGAGCTGAGAGAGAAAGGCCAGGAAGGGCCCCAGACTCGGGGGATGCTGGTGTCACCGTCCTGCAGGATAGAGAGACTCTAGAGACTGCGTGTCCCCTCTCTTCAGCTGGCAGGCTATTGAGACGATGTTCTTTGAGGAACGGGGACTTCTCCAGCAGTCTCCTGCTGAGGGAAGAGAGAAGCCCAAGCCTGTACCAGTCAGAGGGGGAGCTTGTCTCCCTAGGAAGAGGTCTCACAATCCTAACCACTTGTGAAACCACGCCGAAGGACAGGCTGCTGTGGTGACAAGGACAGGTCAATGCTGGGCAGTTAGTTACGCACACCTCTGCCTAGTGCCTAAACCTAAAGGGCAGTCAGTGCCCCAAAGACAGAGCTGGGGGTCACTAGACCTCCTTATGGGCCCCTCTTCCCAATGGACACATCAAATGATCCCTTTCCTCTCATTTTCACTGTTCTCTCACTTTTTTAGAACTTTAAAAAACTGCGTGTGTGGGATGCATTTATGCATGCATGTTTGCATGCATGTTTGTATGTATGTAAGTACGGTGAAGGCACACTTAAGGTTGGTGTTGGAAGTCTTTGTTCACTGAGACAAGCCTCTCAAATGAACCTTGCTTGTCAGTGCAGACTAGTCTAACCAGTTAGCTTGTTCTGTGGAATCCGCTCTCCAGCTTCGAAGCGGTGGGATCACGGCCAGGCTGCCACACCCACCTGGCATTTTACATGGGTGCTGAGAATCTGAACTCATGCTTGCAGAGCAGACCGAGCTTATCCACAGGCCAGCTCTGCAGTCCCATTCTTGTCTCTCTAATTAGTGTATAGTCAGGGTTGCCCTGGGGTCACACTGGTGTTACCAATTTCATTTTATAGACAAGGACGCAGAAGTGCCCAGAAAGGAAGGGACTCTGTGGAGCACAGCACAGCCAAGGCTGGAAAGCAGGACTCTGGCAAAGTCCTTCCCCTGCCTGCATTGTGTCTTCACTAGGAACACAAGAGGCTTGTTCTCATTACTCAGAAAGCTTGATTGAGACCCAGCAGCACCAACACAGGCAGCCAGGCGACAGTGACTGAAGGCTGAGTGCAGGAAGGACAGAAAGCAGCAGCCTAGCAGGGCGGAGTCTAGGCAGGAGTGCAGTGTAGACTCATACTGGATCTCCAGTTCACTTGGGACAGACTGACACACCAGGAGGGTAGGCCCTGGCGGGGCGGGACACACTTTGACCAAACTTACTTAGCTTTGCACAGCGTTTGTCTGACATTTAAACCTAAAGCTCACTGGCTCCCATGCTGACATCCCGCCCGCCATGCGGCCCTGGCCCTTCCGCTTCACAGGGCGAAAGCCACCCAAGCCGGGGAGGTAAGTGGGTCTGCAGGGAGACTGCGACATTCTGATCCTCCCTGCGTGGAGCATGTGGCCCTGCTGCGAGCATGTGGTGGTGGTGGTGGTGGTGGTGGTGGTGGTGGTGGTGGTGGTGGTGGTGGTGGTAGGAGCCAAGAGGAACATCCCCTGCACCTTCCACAGTTGCTGGAGAGCAGAGTGTGCACATAGCTACCATCGGCTACACAGAGCTGATGGGCGGAGTGGAGAAGGCGCCCATCACCAGACTCTGCTCTCTGAGTCTTGAGGTGATCCTGCCCCCCACCCTGTGCTGCCTCTGGCTGGCCTCTTTCTTCCCCAGGACAGCTGGAAATATCTCCTCTTGGTGGAGTGGCAGGGTAGGAAAGACCTACCGGCCACCTGCTCTCCTGGCCACCTGGTGCCTTGGTGACAGCTTGCTTGGAGTCTCCGACTGAGACTCGGCTCCCTCTTTAGCACACCAGGTGTGTCCGCTCGGGCACACGTCAGTCATGAAAGGTGTCACAGTGGACTCTGTACCAACCCTAGCCGGGTTTGTCCTTTTCACGTGCCTGTGACATGTTGTATCCATTATCTAGGCATGAAAGCAAGGTTCAGGGAACTTATTAATTTGACCAAAGACATGTAACTGGTCACAGATGTTGACAATTACCTAAATGAACATGGAGCACTTCCTGTGAGTTTTGGAACCATGTGTTCTTCTGAGGCAGGGTCACATCTGAAGTCAACTGTACCCACTATCTCATTAAGCAATATTATCTGCCAATGGCCCGAACCAGAATCTACAGAGGGTTACATTATGTCAAAGTCATGTGCAAGTAACTAACTGATTCCTATCTAATCAATTAAGAACTTGTAACAGGAAGACTAAGTAGTTTGCCTGAAGTCACACAACTACTAAGTCAGGGACCCGAGACTCGAACCCAGAGAGGCTTTCTCTGGAGGCCAGTGCTTTGAGCCCCAGTCTCTGCTGCTCTTTAGATGGACACTTGCTGTGCTGATAAAATCAGGTTAAACCCCAGATTTGTCTTTGTCCCTTCAGTAGCTACTGTGGCATCTCGTCAGCACTGATGTGACGAGCCTTGTGTCACGGGTGTTAGGCGATCGCAGGGCCCAGCTTTGTGGGAGCTCACTTGTAGAGCCCTGCCCTGGAAGCACATTTAGTCCTGCTGCACTCTGGCTTTATTGAATGACAGGATTTCAAAACAAAAAGGGAAAACAAACATATACACATTCTATTTCTCAAAAGCAGCATTTGTGAACTCCACCTTCCTCATATATCGCAGCCTTGTTTGCTGGGCTGTTAGTTTTGGCTAAGGACATCTCAGTAGCTCTAACCAACCAACTTCCTCAGTCTTGCTGCTGTATACGAGCCACAGTATTACTTCTGCTGTATATGAGCCACAGTATTACTTCTGTTGTATATGAGCCACGGTATTACTTCTGCTGTATATGAGCCACGGTATTACTTCTGCTGTATATGAGCCACAGTATTACTTCTGCTGTACATGAGCCACAGTATTACTTCTGTTGTATATGAGCCACGGTATTATTTCTGTTGTATATGAGCCACGGTATTACTTCTGCTATATATGAGCCACAGTATTACTTGCTGCTGTATATGAGCCACAGTATTACTTCTGTTGTATATGAGCCATGGTATTACTTCTGCTGTATATGAGCCACAGTATTACTTGCTGCTGTATATGAGCCACAGTATTACTTCTGTTGTATACGAGCTACAGTATTACTTCTGCTGTATATGAGCCACAGTATTACTTCTGCTGTATATGAGCCACAGTATTACTTCTGTTGTATACGAGCTACAGTATTACTTCTGCTGTATATGAGCCACGGTATTACTTCTGCTGTATATGAGCATGCAGTATTACTCTCTTTTTAATGAAGAGAGGGAGCAGGCACATATTTAATGTTTCATGTACCAGGAGCTACATACAAGTCTTTCACTCCTACATTTAATCTCTGCCAGCACCTACTTTATGAGTCAAGTGAGGCGGGGAAGGAGAAGGGGACTGAGCCATCGGTGACTTAATTTATACAAAGAGCCAAGCTGAAGTTAAACAGAAATGACACCTAGTCCTTCCCCTTGAGAACCTCTGAGTCCCAGTGGGTGTTCAACCCGCCAGCACCTCTCAGCTGCATGGCCTCTCAGGCCCTGTCTTCTGGAAACCGAGTAAGAATCCCAGCGTCCACTTCGGTTACTTGAGCAGAAAGACAAAACAGCACTATTAAAAATTAATGCTAAATTAAAAATTGAAACATTCCATTTCCCAGCAGTTAATTGTTCAGCTCCATGGACAATCCCAGCATGTTGGCAACCCTTGACTGAGAAGCCAGAGGACAGCCTGGAGTGCAGGTGCAAGGAAGTGGGAGGAAGGCTGAGGAGGAGACCAGCTTCCAGAAGCAATCTGTGCCTGAAGCAACTGAGTCATCAAATCCCACCCCATCCCCCAAGGAAGCCGCTGTGATAGTCAGCTGCCTTAAAAGATCACCACGATAGAGCTCTAAAAGGAGGGAGGGAAACTGCCAGCAAAGCGCCACTCAAATGGCTTCCTTCTGAACGGGGCACGCAGCACTGTGTGACCTCTGGGCGCCGGATCCATCACACAGGACAAAAGCGTCCAGGAATCACAGACCTCCTGGAATAAAGCATTCGGGTCTCTAGGTTACTAGGGTTTGGTCTTCACTGGTATGTCTTTATGCACAGGCACATTAATGGTATCCAAGGGCGAGCTAGAGAAGTATTAAAATTCTGTGAATTAGGCCAGCAAGAGGGCTCAGCAGGCAAAGGCATTTGTGTGGAACCTGACACGTGAGTTGATCCCCAGGACCCACACAGTGGAGGGAGAGAACCAACACCCACAGGTTGTCCTCTGACTTCTACATGAGTGCCTGGTCACATGCACACAAATAAATGACTTAATACTTAAAATTTTTAATAACCACACCGTAGATGGAAGAAAAGATGTGGAACACACACCACCACCAAAGAGCTGATGGCAGCGTGAACGGGGTGGCAGCTGCGGAGTGGAGGAAGGATGTGGACAGGATTTGGGAGCAAGAATTGATAAAAGAATTAAGACCCGGCGGACAAAGGAAAAATTCTCCCAGACTGAGACTGAACTGTTTGCTGAGACTGGAAGTGAGAAAGAAGAGGGCGAGGAGGAATCGAGGAATCCGCGTGGGTCCTATGAAGCACGCAGGGATGTCAGGCAGGCGGGCACAGGTCAGGGCTCAGAAGAAGTGCGTGAGCGAGACTCACCTGGGAGAGTCAGCCTCTCCAGCTGTCCCACGGCAACGGACGGAGGCATGACAGAAAACAGAGCAAAAGAGGAGGTGCCGTGTGGAAATGGCCATCCCTGGCTGTCCAGCCCCGGACCTCATCTCCACAGCGGCCATCCCTGGCCATCCAGCCCTAGACCTCATCCCCACAGTGGCCATCCCTGGCTGTCCAGCCCCGGACCTCATCTCCACAGCGGCCATCCCTGGCCATCCAGCCCTAGACCTCATCCCCACAGTGGCCATCTCTGGCCATCCAGCCCTGGACCTCATCCCCACAGCGGCCATCCCTGGCTGTCCAGCCCTAGACCTCAGACCCATCTAAGAGACTTAGCAAAGAAGCCGTGCTCCCGACTTCCTACACTCACAGTGTCTCCCAGGCAGCTACCCCACTGCCCAGCCTATCAAAAGACACAGACAGGCTGGAATTCCCAGTCCTGCACAGTGGGAATTTCTCCTATTCCAAGAAATAAGTGGACTTGCCCAAACAAGCCCAAGATCCTTCCAGAGGACAAGGCAGCCTTCTCCCTTCCTCTGCAGCTCCTCATCCTGTTCTCCACCAGCTCCTCCAGTGTGAAGACAGAACAGATCTGGTCCCATTCCTCCCCCTGGATGACCTCAACTAGGACTGCAGGTCCCTGCCACCTGTACTCTGACAACACCTCATCCCTGTCTCCAGCTCACACCTTCAGCCAAACTCACCTGAGAGCACCTGAGAGTCTCCATCCAGATGCCCCTTGACACAAAGCATACAGCGCCACCTCTCAATTCCTAAGCCTGTGTCCCTTCACGTCCTTTCCTGGATGCCACCGTAACTGCTCACAAGTCTCCCAGGTCACCCTGGGCAGCTCTGTTCTTAGTCACTAAACGATATCTTTCCAGTCAGTTGATCACGTGACCTTAACAACTGTGGCAAATACTCGTTTTACATCTACTCCACCTTCTCCCCACTTCCTGCCCTTTCCCTCCCTCCTTTTAGTATCAGTACCTGGGATTGAACCCAGGGCCTCATGCATGCCAGGCATACGCTCTGCTACTGAGCTACAGAACCCCAGGCCCAACATCAGGAACTTCCTAATTGTACCATTATCCCAACACAATGCCTGCCACAGTGTTATTGTAAAGCCATAATTTATGGTGAGAAATACAGATTTGGTTGTGATCAAGTGAAGAAATAGTTTGTTATATCCAAACACATACATATATACACACAGAAACAAATTCCACTTATTAGTACTCATCTTTAGTGTGGTGCACTTTGATAGTCTATATCAGTCTTATGTGTACACGTCTGTGTGATATGTATGTACTACATGGGCATGCACACTGCACAGTACCCATGTGGAGACTGGAGGGCACCCCAGGTGCACACTGCACAGTACCCATGTGGAGACTGGAGGGTACCCCAGGTGCACACTACACACACCCATGTGGAGACTGGAGGGCACCCCAGGTGCACACGGCACCCATGTGGAGACTAGAGGGCACCCCCAGGTGCACACTGCACACACCCATGTGGAGACTGGAGGGCACCCCAAGTGCACACGGCACACACTCATGTGGAGACTGGAGGGTACCCCCAGGTGCACACTGCACGCACCCATGTGGAGGCTGGAGGGCACCCCAGGTGCCCACTGAACAGTACCCATGTGGAGACTGGAGGGCACCCCAGGTGCACACTGCACACACCCATGTGGAGACTGGAGGGCACCCCAGGTGCACACTGCACACACCCATGTGGAGACTGGAGGGTACCCCCAGGTGCACACGGCACAGTACCCATGTGGAGACTGGAGGGTACCCCCAGGTGCACACTGCATGCACCCATGTGGAGACTGGAGGGCACCCCAGGTGCACACTGCACACAACCATGTGGAGACTGGAGGGTACCCCCAGGTGCACACTGCACACACCCATGTGGAGACTGGAGGGTACCCCCAGGTGCACACTGCACACACCCATGTGGAGACTGGAGGGCACCCCAGGTGCACACTGCACACACCCATGTGGAGACTGGAGGGTACCCCCAGGTGCACACTGCACACACCCATGTGGAGACTGGAGGGCACCCCAGGTGCACACTGCACACACCCATGTGGAGACTGGAGGGTACCCTGGAGTCAGTCCTCACTCGCCCGTTTTTGAGGCAGGGTTTCTTGCGCTTCTTCCACCCAGCTGCTGGCCCATGTCCTCCCAGGAATTCTCTTGTCTGTGTTTCCCATCTCGATGCAGGGCACCGGCATCACACACACGCTACTGCATCTGGCTTTGCATGGACACCCGCACAGCAAGCACTTTATCCACGCCGACAACGCCTTAGTTCTTATTTTGTTTTAAAAGCCAGTTTAGGCTAGTTTCTGAAAACATGAGTAGGTAATGACCAGAAGTTTGGGAAATACCAGCTAACATATCTTAATTTCTGATAAACATTTGGTGTTTGCTTGTGTAACAAGTTCATTCACAGCCCTGACTCTCTTAGCTCCTCATTCCTACCTCACGGATGAGCTAGTTAACTGAAAATAAAGTTTTCTTGGCCCTCTCCACACCTTGCACATTTCCACAGATCCTATGTGGCCTGTGTGCTTTACCTGGCACTGGCCATTTCCTGTTGCAATTACCATAGTGCTCAGTCTGTTTGGTTCAAGGTACCCAGAGCTCAGTTTCTTAGCCAAAGCCCATTGATGAAGATCCAACAGATGCTAAGACACCCCTTTCCCACCAGTGCCACACTCAGCACTCCCCAGGGTGCCCATCTCCCCCAGCTCTGTGCTTGGTTTCTGTCCTTACTTTGGATTAAACCAGTCCCCTAGCCGAAGCTCCTCAATGCTGTCTCCATTTTGTTTCTTTTCTCTGCCTCTTCCTACGTCCTCTTCTCGGTAACTGTGGGACCTGTGTACAAAGAGAATAGAAGCTGAATGAGGCAGTGGCCGGGCAGGTGGCCGGGCAGTGGGGCTCTTTCACGACTCGTGTCTGGGGAGATGCATTCTCCGTTGCTTACAGCACTAAGCACCGATTCCACAAACTTCAGGTAAGGGCAGTATTTGTCTCTCTTGCCACTGTGCAGGTCAGCAGTTAGTCCAATGACCCTGTAACCGTCGGTTATTCCAGGACATTCCTCCGAGGAATATCCTGCTGAAATGTCTATTCTGAAATTTAAACTCCAGCTGAACTTCACCCTTAACTGGGGGAGGGCACAGGAAGGAGGAGGGAGACGGGGAGACTGACTCAGAATTCCACTTAGAGTCCTGTGAACTGGTGAGATGGCCCCTTCAGTGACACTGTCTGTCACGAAAGCCTCAGAATCTGAGTTTAATTTCTAGAACTCACAGTGGAAAGACAGAATTGTCTCCCGAAAGCTGTCTTCTGGCCTCATATGTATGCTGTGGCACACATGTATCTGCATGCATACACACATCCCACACACACATACATACACACACACACACACACTCATTCACATCCACAGCCACACACATATCACTCATACACTCACACACACACACTCATCACACATATATCACACAGACATATACACATCACACAACCACATACACACACATACCATATATACATATATCACATACTTATCACATATACACATTATACACACATACACACATCACACACATATCACACATACATACGTCACACACATCACACATACACACATCACACACATCACACACACAGAGTAATGGAATGTTCCCAAGTCACTGCCCTTAGAAAATTCCTCCAAGAGTCCTGGGGAAGATGCTACATCTGGCATGGGGTATCCAAGGGAAAAGAATCTATGCACATCATGCCCTTTGTCTGTTAATTTTATTCCTCTATGACAAAATTCTGTCAACACAGCTTCAGCTCATCTCTGTGCCGTTTTCCTGTCCTCATAGCTTTTTTAATTACCTAGTGGATCAGCATCTGAGAAGCTTACACTGTTTGCCAATACAGTCAGTAGTATATGGGCCCACAAGAACTTCACAGCAGAAGACAGCTGAAATATTAAAAGCTAAATAACACCAAATATTCCATGATAAATGGTTTCCTCTAGAAAAATACCTTGAAATTTCTAGGTATAGCTTTAATACATAGCTGAATCTCTATAATATATTCTTGTGGCCTGCAAGAACACAGTACACACAGCACACACACACATACACATCACACACAGACACACAGCACACACATACATCACACACACACATATACATCACACACACAGCACACACACATACACACCACACACACACAGCACACACACAGACACATAGCACACACATACATCACACACACCACACACACATACATACATCACACACACAGCACACACACATACACATCACACACACACACACACCACACACACCACACACACATATATCACACACACAGCACACAAACATACTTACACATCACACACAGACACACAGCATACACACAACACATATCACACACACAATAACAACAGAAATTAAAAACGACAACAAAAGAAACTCCTTGAATGAGTTCAGTGAGCCAGAAAGAGGGAGTGAGAAGGCCATGGCTCTGAGTGTCAGGGACAGATGAATCCGCCCCGACCCCTTACCTGTTGCTAAACCATCTTGGGAACCACCAGTCCTTCTGCCTGCTGCTGTCACCAACCTCTGGAATTCTAGGAAATGAAAAAGAATATAAACACTTCTAGAAAATGAGGCAGTCCCCAGGGGGAGGGAGGGAGTTTCCAATGCTTTTTAAGTGTCAGATATGACACTTAAAGTGAACCTCACGCTGCCAGTTCATAAAACAGGGAGAGGCAGAAGCCTGAGCTAAAAGGGGGCGGGCAGACCCGAGGAGCCTCAGTTGGCCCCTTCCAGGAAGCCTCCAACACCCACCTTGTCCCTGGACCCCTGAAAGATGAGGTGCAGGGAAAAAACAATGATGGGAGCCTTCGGACACATCAGCCTGTGGTCCAGAGCTCTGCTTGCTAATGGAGCGGCTGTGCTAATGACCAATGAGACAGCCGACACGTGAGAGTTTGGGGAACTGGACATGGCTGTAATGAGGGGTAATCCTAAGAAAACCAAAACCAAAACCAAACCATTCACCTTCCTGAGAACGATAGTGCAAGTGTGTGTGCGTGTGTATGTTACAAAGGCCAGTCTGAGAAAAATTTCGGTTGCCCAGTCATTGACAGCTTCGGGAAGTCTGAGGACTGCCAAAGGAGAATTAGAAAACTAGTTAGAGGCCATCTTAGGCCTGATTTGAGATAGTCTGCATACTCTGTCACTGTGAAAGTCTCTGGGATGAGAAGAAAGGGGGAAGTTGGATAAGGTGGCAAGGTAACCCTGAACAGGGATACAGTACTGGGGGGAGAGGGTCCTGCTATGTAGTTCAGGCTAACCCTCCCTCTTGGCCTTTGGCTGAGATGAGAGGCACACTCCACCACTCCTGGCTAAGAAACCCACTGCAGAATTCATCTGGAAGTGTCGTAGATGATTCATGAACCAAAGGCATGGTTATAATAAGTGGGAAACAACCTAAGAATAAAAATCACAGGAAATAGAAAGAAAGGCCAGCAAGATGTCTCAGTGGGTAAAGAGGGGCTTGCCACCAAGTCTGATGACCTGAGTTCAATTCCTGGAACCCATATGGTAGAAGGAAAGAACCAAATTATTCTTGGATCACCACATGTACACACACACACACACACACACACACACACACACACACACACACACATTTTTATAAAAGGAAATATTGGTGGCTGGGAATACCGCTCCCTAGGAAAAGTCCTTGTTTCAGAAGCATGAGGCCCTGAGTTCAGATCCCCAGCACTCACACAGACGTCAGGGAGAGTAGTGTACATCCAGAATCCCAGGACCTGGTGGGGAGGTGGAGACAGAGGATCCTGGGGCAGGCTGGCACTCTAGTGCAGCCAAAACTGACAACTCTGGGCTCAGTGGGAGACTTGGTCTCCAAAATTAAGGTAGAAAATAATAAGAAAGATACTCAAAGCTGCCTTCTGGCCCACACTGTACACACATAGGCAAGCATACTATAGATACACGTGCATATACCACACACACACACACACATACACACGCACGCACGCACGCACGCACACCAACCTCCCCCCTTACACACACTGATTTGGTAACCCAAGTATGTATTTTCACGTGACCTTGGCCATCCCGAATAAAAGTGTCATTTTTGTTCTCATTTTTACAGTTGAGGTAAGGGCTTGGTGGGTTTGAGCATGTGGCCAAGGTCCCTCAGCAGGTAAGGATACAATTCAGATGCAACACCTGGGAATGGATTACACTCAAACGAAGGCTAAGCATGTTACAAGCACTTAAGAAGAATTTGTTCTGAGCTTTCTGGCCACCACACCAAAGACAGGAAAACAGAGCTTAACCTAGCTCCTCCCCCAGCCCCTCCACCTGGATCACAGGTGTGTGCTCCTCCCTCAGCCCCTCCACCTGGATCACAGGTGTGTGCTCCTCCCTCAGCCCTTCCACCTGGATCACAGGTGTGTGCTCCTCCCCCAGCCCCTCCACCTGGATCACAGGTGTGTGCTCCTCCCTCAGCCCCTCCACCTGGATCACAGGTGTGTGCTCCTCCCCCAGCCCCTCCACCTGGATCACAGGTGTGTGCTCCTCCCTCAGCCCCTCCACCTGGATCACAGGTGTGTGCTCCTCCCCCAGCCCCTCCACCTGGATCACAGGTGATCACAGGTGTGTGCTCCTCCCTCAGCCCCTCCACCTGGATCACAGGTGTGTGCTCCTCCCCCAGCCCCTCCACCTGGATCACAGGTGTGTGCTCCTCCCTCAGCCCCTCCACCTGGATCACAGGTGTGTGCTCCTCCCTCAGCCCCTCCACCTGGATCATAGGTGTGTGCTCCTCCCTCCAACCCTCCACCTGGATCACAGGTGTGTGCTCCTCCCTCAGCCCTTCCACTTGGATCACAGGTGTGTGCTCCTCCCTCAGCCCTTCCACCTGGATCACAGGTGTGTGCTCCTCCCTCAGCCCCTCCACCTGGATCACAGGTGTGTGCTCCTCCCTCCAACCCTCCACCTGGATCACAGGTGTGTGCTCCTCCCTCAGCCCCTCCACCTGGATCACAGGTGTGTGATACAACACCCAGCTTCCCCATCAGTCAGGCAAGAATGATTCTCAGATGACACTATTTGAAAAGAGTCCCCTGATCAGACATGAGGGCAAAGCATGTTACTATTCTATAAAGACCAGTCTGGGCACTGGCAGAGTACAGCCCTGACCCCAGGACCCTAGGCATCTGCCTCCCTCTCCTTGCCTCTCTCCTCCCCGCCCCCACACTGTGGCCTGAGCACTCCAGTGGCTGGCACGTAGAGAATCAACTGCAGGTAGGAGACATCTGGTAGATATGAGGAGTTCAGACCACTTACTTTGTGTGACATATCCACAAGAAGGAGCCGTCAGGGCTAAGAGCAAACAAGAAACAAAAACATTTCACTTTATGTTTAATTCTCAGAGAGACTGTCGTGGTTCTAACTCTTCCCAGGCTCCACCTTCCCTTGAGACCAGCGACAAAGGCCCTGGGGTTCCCACAAGCAATGCCAAGGAAGGGAAGGGACATCTGACAATCTCAATTTCTGGTTTTTTTTGTTTTGTTTTGTTTTGGGGATTTCCCCCTCTTTTTGTCTCTTTTAAGGTTGGTCAGCTGTTATGGACAGGAAGGTCCTCTTCTACCACATTCTCAGATGCTGGGCAATGAGGAAGGTGGGAGCATCCAGGCCAGCCATCCCACGCTGAGGATTTATCTTCCCCCAGGAAACAGAGCCTGGGACATTCACCCCAGATCCCTTCTGCAGAGCAGACCCCAAGGGCGCTGCTTTAACCAGCCAAAGCAGTGAGGCTAACTTGATGCCACGAAGGCTAGACCAGGGACTGTAGAGTGTGACCTCTATTCAGTCACTCTCTAAGTACTTGCTGGGCATGTCCTCCACACCCAGTGAAGGGACTCTCTGCAGGCCAGGGCAGATACCGTCCTTACCCATGAGGGCTACACAATGTAACAGAGAAGGCAGGCCAATCACACAGCTACCCGCTGTGGCTGGTCTGGAAGTCACTATGTAGACAATCTTGGCCTCAAACTTGTAGGATCCTCTTGTCTCTGCCTTCCAAGTACAAGAATCCAAGTACAAGTCCCTAGCCAAGGCGTGCAAGAGAGAGCATACGAAGGATAGGCCCTTCTCCGGAGGACCTGGCAAGCTTCCTGGAGAAGGCAATGTATTCTGAAGGATGAAGAGAGGTTCACCAAGGTGAAAAGACACGAGAGAAGAATGTGTGAGAGAAGAGTGTTTCAGAATGAAGTAGCAGAACATCCTAGAAGTGGTTACATGTCTGTCACACTTTGAAACTCACTATCTTTTGCATTCTGACTGGAGGTTGCCCCGCCTATGCCTGTACCTAAGGATACAGTTTCTTTTTTGTAGCCAAGACAGGTTTGCTGGCTCATCCAACTTTAAAATTCAAAATTCTGGAAGAGATAAATCTAGGGGCTGGAGAGATGGCTCAGAGGCTAAGAGCACTGGCTGTTCTTCCAGAGGTCCTGAGTTCAATTCCCAGCACTCACATGGTGGCTCCCAACCATCTGTAATGAGATCTGGTGCCCTCTTCTGTGTACATAATAAATAAATAAATAAATCTTTTAAAAAGAGAGAGAGAGAGAGACAAATCTGATGTTAACCCAGCCCACCAGAACTCCTGGGCCATTAAAACATTCCCACTGTGAAAACAGTCGTCTTCGAGACAGCTCCTATAGTTAGCTGTACAATGCACTTGTTGAAGCTGAACAGAGTTCAGCCAATGTCCCTTCTTAGGGACCTGCTGGGGCTGTGCTACGGAGCTGTATCTCCCTCTGAGGCCATTGACACTGGAGCTTCCAGAAGCAGAGGCGGCGGCACAATAGATTTTAATTCACAGATGAGTTTGATGACTGAGAAACATTTAATTCATCCTGCTCTCCAAAGCCAAGGGGGGCAAGGGAGGGAGAGCGTGTTTCATCCAGGCACAAATGAATCACTAGTAAAACTTAGTATTTTTGCACCAAAGCCAACCACTTGGATGGCTCCTTTAAACCCTAGAAATATTTTAGGATTGCAGGACTTAGGGCTGGTTTCTTGTGGAATTCCTATTTGAATTTTATTTATTTCTCTTTTGTCCTTTATTTTTGTTATTTTTAAATTTTACGTGCATGAGTGTTTTGCCTGTGTGTACTGGTGTGCACCATTTGTGTGTCTGGTGCCCATGGAGGCCAGAAAACAATGTAGGATCTCCTGGAACTGGATTAGAGGTGTTGTAAGTCACCATGTGGGTGCTGGGAATCAAACCCGGGTCCTCTGAAAGAGCAGCCAGTGCTCTTAACTGCTGAGCCACCTCTCCTGCCCTTTCTTTTTTTGAATCAGGGTCTCCCTATAAAGCTGTGGCTGGTCTGGAAGTCACTATGTAGACAATCTTGGCCTCAGACTTGTAGGATCCTCTTGTCTCTGCCTTCCAAGTACAAGAATTCCATGCATGCACCCCTGCCTGGCTTGAAATTTCTTGTATCTGCTTACATAAATTACTTGAGACTGTTTTTGGCTTAATGTGCCTTCTCTCTGGGTTTAGCCTACAGAAAAGCAAGGTACTAGGAACATGGCAAGAAGGAAGAGAATTACTTAGGCAGAAGTTACCTGGATGGTCTGTGGTTTTAACAACCATCCAGGGCTGGGGAGTACAGGAAGGGTGGAATCCTGTTTACAGCTCAGTTCTTCATCTTCACCCTGCTTGGTCACTCAGCTGGCACCAGTCACACAGAATGAAAACAGCCTTTCCATCATCACAAGTCTAGCTGGTTTCATAATTACCTGTTGACATATTCCCAAAACACGACAACCACAGTTGAGACCACCAGCATCATCAGGACTACTTTTCCTTTGACATTCATTCTTTTCTCCTGGGGAGCGGGAAGAAAGAGGGGAAATGAATGAAATAAATCTGGAGTGAGAGACGGCTCCCGGGGCTGGAGAAGCAGCTCAGTGGTTAAGTACACTTGCTGGGTTCAGTTCCCAGCATGCAAATGGTGCTCACAGCCGTCGGTAACTCAGGTTCCAGAGGATCTGATGCCCTTCCTCTTCTGGCCTCCATGAGCACCAGACACACATGTATGAGTGGTGTACATACATACACAAGGTAAAACACTCGTACACATAAAATATTTTAAATAATAAAAATAACACAAGGCCTCTGCCCACATCGTTTCTAACAAGATACATTTATGTGTAATTCACTAGAGCTGAGACATGTGTCCCTGCTCAAGGGCACAAACTAGTCACAGCAAATTAGGCCAACGTAGTTAATGAGACTGCATGCTCTGGGAATAATGCTGGAGCTGCAGTCCCAGCCCCACCCCTGCCCCTGCCCCCGCCCCTGCCCCAGCCATATGGGCGTCCGCAAGTGAGGAGGTAGGTGTTAGAACTGTTAACTGTTAGTTCCACAGAACTCCAGTTACCTCAGCTTCAGAACACCTCTGACTCTGGGGGATGCGTCCCCACTCCCCAGCTCTGTTGTCCCTGGAGTACTGACTACACATTCCGATGCCTCTTTATAACCCAGGCCTTGCCCACTTTCCAGCCCCACCCAGTTCACTCCACCACACACCCACAAGCAAGCAAGCAACTGGAACTACGGGAGGAAAATTGTGAAGAAAGGGAAGCGGTGCTGGCCAGAAAACAACAGGCTGGGAAGTACTTCCGTGTGGAGGTGAGGACCGGCGACGAGGGGGCGGGGGCGTGAAAGGTGAGTGTTGGAGATGAAGACAAGGGGTGCCCCTAAAGAGGTGAGGGCCTCTGCGGAGCGACATCCATAATAGGCTAGCCAGAGAGGAAGCTTTAGAACATAAAACTGCACCTCCAAAATGCTGCATGAGAAAGAAGAGGGTGAGCAGGGGCGGCCGGGGCTCTCGGATGTCCACCAGGAGTTTGGGAGGTACCAGCCTTTGGGGTGGTGAAGAAGAATTGGATCTACGCCCAGAGGACCTGTTCACCTGCTGAGGGGTCGGGGGAGGGTACCAGAACCTTGGCATTAGTGGGGAAAGTCACGGACTATTCTAATGGCCAAATAGAGGGAGCAATTGTATTGTCCATCTGCATGTTGCTGTCCCTATATCAGGACATTCTGACATAACACTTTTAATACCTTACAACACTTGCCTGTGTCGGGAGAAATCGTTCCCGGAGACTTGCCGGCTATCTGAGACTCCAAGAGCTCAGACAGGATGTGCCTTTGACCCACAAATGAGCCAGCCACTCGGGAGCCAGGCCTCTGGCCCATGCACCTCACAAGGCAGTAGGACCTGGCCTTATCACCCAGCGTATCAGACCCCTAACTAGTCCCGCCAAAAGCACTCTGAGTAGATCTTAGCTGCTTTCTCTGCTCTCCTGGCTGTTCCTGTAAACCCCAATTTCCAACTCTCAGTATCACTGTGGTGGGTGGTGCTCCAGAGACCCCAGGAAGAAAGGCTAGGCAGGAAACCTGTAAGAAGGCAGGCTGAGCAAGCCATGGAGACCAAGCCAGAGCAGTACCCCTCCACGGCCTCTGCATCAGTTCCTGCCTCCAGGTTCCTGCCTTGAGTTCCTTCCCTGACTTCCCTCAGTGATGGAGTGTGACCTGAGAGTTGGTTTCCTTGGTTTGACAATGGGGATCACAGTGATGGGGGAGGATGCAAATTTAAGGCCAGCCTGGGCTACACACAGCAAGACTACCTCAAATCACAAATAAGGGCCAGTGAGATGGCTTTATGTGTACACCAGCTGAGAAAGCCTGTGACCTCAGCCTGATACCCAAAATGTACCATGGAAGGAGAGAACTGGCTACGCACATGGACACAAATGTACCGTGGAAGGAGAGAACTGGCTACACACATGGACACAAATGTACTGTGGAAGCAGAAAACTGGCTAAGTGTTTTCCTCTGACCACTACATGTGCATTCTGGCATACAAGCCACTACACACACACACACACACACACACACACACACACACACACACACACGTGCGCGCGCGCGCACATGCCCACATGCACTCACATACACCTGTAATCCCAGAACTCAGGAAGCAGAAGCAGGCAGATCACTGTGAGTTCCCGGGCCACATAGTGAGACCCTCCCTCAGGAGAGAGAGATGAACCTAGCAATGACTTCAGAGCAGTGCCATAGCACAGGACAAATGCTTTTCCACATGTCAGTCTTCACCACTGACGTCCATAAAGCGGGCGGCAGGGAGGCTCTGCTGAAAATGGCAGCTGAGACGGAGAAAGTACTCAGACGCGCGGAGGAGGGGGAACTCTGGAATGAGAACGGCTTATACAAACGGATGCAACCCAAGGTTTCACCACCTATCCCAGCGCAGCCTGAGTGAGAGCTGCTCCAAAAGGAGACCAACTTCCGTTTTCTCTCATCAAGACCTAGGACGCCTGTGCTTGCTGAGAGGCAAGGGCGAGCGTTGGCTTCGAGGCTCAGCTGTGCCAACCCCACTTACCAAGGGTCAAATGCGAAGCCTCTCCCGACCGGAAGGGGCAGGGCACAGCGACAGGGTCACCTGTGCCACCAGAGGCAGTCCAGACCAGCACACCTCCCAGTGCCCACCACCAACATCCTGGTGGATGTGGGTAGTTTTTTTAGACTCCAGGAATTCACATCAAAAGTGACTCTTGAAGCACACTTCTTCGTGGGCTTCACCAATGACTTGAAACCACCTGCCTACAGGCTGTGGCTAATCCCCCCGCTGGCGAGAGCCTTGGAAACTGAAAGGCTGTGCAATGCTAGAAATGGGCACAACATGCTTCCTAGAATCTTCCTAGAAACCCAAGTCCCCAGGGAGGGAAGGGCTGGCTGGCTGGCTGGCCAATTAGTCTTTTAAAACCATTCTGTATTTCTCTCTGGACCAAAATGAGACATTTGGCAGACAATGTGGCCTACAAATCTGTCTCTGTCCCTCAGAACTTTCAAAACTACACTTCTGAAGAGTGGTGGGTGGCAGTGTTCCCTGCCAGGTAAGAAATGAGTTTAACTTCTTTCAGGTCTTGACTCCAAGATGACCAAAATGAAGGAAGAGGAGGAGGAGGGAGAGAAGGAAGAGAGGAAGGGAGGGGTGGAGGGATGGATGGAGGGAGGAAGGGAGAGAGAGAGAGAGAGAGAGAGTGAGAGAGAGAGAGAGAGAGAGAGAGAGAGAGAGAGAGAGAGAGAGAGAGAGAGAAGAAAGGAAAGATTGAACCAAAAAGGGTCTCAGGTGTGTGCAGCCAAGTTACCACACAACTACGCCCGGTGTGTGCCCAAGGACAGGCCATTAAGAAGTTCGTCACTCGGAACACTGTAGAGGCTGCTGCCGTCAGGGACATTTCCTAAGCAAGAGTCTTCGATGCGTATGTGCTTCCCAAACTCCATGTCAAGTGCATTACTATGAGAGCTGTGCCAGCCACAGCAAGGGGGTCAGGAACTGACCTCGTGAAGCCAGCCTGGAGAACCAAACACTGCCACCATGATTCAGACCTGCTGGTGCTGCCCCTCAACCTCCACCAAAGCCTATGTAGTGGCTTCAGATAGGCAGAAGAAAAAGCATCCGAGAAGAATAAAAATGGAAGTTATACTTAAAAAAAAGAAAGAAAGAAAATAAATGAGTTTGAATCATGTAGGAGACCCCTGGGTGATCTTAGCTGGCCCAGTGGTCCAGTCTGTGATGGCATGGGTCCCTCCTGCCACCTCTGAGACCATCTGACTCAATGCTCTTGTCATCTGTGGCTAACTCCATCCTCTGGCCACTCCCAGACTCAACCCTGCAGAGCATTGCTCCCGCATGGGTTCTCGGATGAGCACCTGCACCCCAACTCCTGGAACATATGCTGATGCTGGTGGCATTTCACAAGGCAGAGCCACACTGTGAAGCCTCCACCTTCCTGGCTCCACCTCACGGTTCAGTGAACACCCCTCAGAGAACCTCACAGAGCCACACCAACCAAATAAAAACATTCCTTCCAAACAATTCCTCTCTGGAGTGGATGCTGGGCAATTCTGTTTTCTCCATCTCATATCAGGGTGAAAGGTGAACCTCAGCTGGAAGCTGGATGCAGAAGAACCCTGGAAAAGCCATTATCATTATTGTGGAGAGCAGGGGACAGGCAGAGAGAAAGCACTTGCCAAAGAAACCAAACCTCCTAGGAAGCACTCGCCTCCCTGCCTGCAACCCTGCCACCATGGCCTGGAACCTGCTCTTCTTCCCCAAAGAACAGCCAGGCATGATGAGTCCAGGTTAGCACAGGCCCGGCAGGGTACTTGGTAGATGCACCCATATGTTTGTGAAGTGAATAAACCAATGAGAGCCACCCAGACCCATTAACCACCATGGACTAGGCTACTGGGGACTAGTGGGTTCTTGAATCAGAGACACATCAATAAACAAGGCCACCATGGAGCTTCCACTCCAGAGGCGGAGGTTATAGAGTGCCTAGTAGCAACCAGTGCTACAAAGGCAAACAAAGCAATAAAGTAACAAACTGGATATTGCCTATTGACTGTACAAGCGCCGCGCACGCATACATACACACACACACACACACACACACACACACACACACACACACACACACACACGTTGCTGGTGACAGGACCCCACACTTCACCACTGTATAATCCTCTGCTTAAGACACCATCCTCTGGTTCCCCCAAGCCTTCAGTTATAACCAAAAGTATTAATCCAGCACTATAGGTAAAAAAATTAGATGAGGTGAAGACTGACCCTGGCAAGGTCCCAGACATATCCCCTGGGAAGTTGTTTTAACCAGAGGTTCTATCTCATGTATAATATGGAGACACAACATCTTCGCTGAGGCTTTGCAAAGGTCAGAAGTAGACCATGCCTACAAAGCTCCCTGGGCCAGGCAATCAGCAAGACTCCACAAATGGCGGCCGTAACCATGACAATGTTCTTTAGGGAGAGGTTCCAGCCATGGATGCAGAGCTGTGTTTTCACCAGAGACAAGAATTAGGCCCATATAACAACCCCTCACAGAGCAGTTGGGATGAACCCAAGACCCCAGTGCAAGCTAAGGGAAACCTTGCTATGCCCAGTCTGGGGCAAGGTTGCAGCCAAACATCCCTGCTGATTCTCATGAGTTCCCACATTAGGCATTTGCCAAGATCAGGCAGGAGAAGTGGCCAAGGCCCATCCTTTCCAAAGACCAAGGGAGGCAGAGTTTCACAGTCGATAAAGAAGTCTTTGGACTGGCCTTCTCCTCCAGGCTTTCCCCTCTCACCCAGGCCTGGATGAGAAGCCAGTCCCAGGGCACATCCCTTAGGCACAAGAGCTCACCCTGCTGCCTTGGTCCATGTGCTTTGCCTAGACCGACCAGATGATCGGATGATAGACTCCTTGGCCAACCAATATATCTGAAGTACAGAGGCGGGCTTACCAGGCCTCATGAAGCTTAGGTCTCCGGGTCCCCTCACAAGATGGAGCTTTATTCCTATCAGAGTACAGGTAGGCGAAAACCCAAGCACTTCCTAGAGTAGGAAGAATCCCCTGGAGTCTGGAGGAGTCCCTGGCTAGCTCTGGCAGCTGTTGGAGGCTGCAGGAGGTGGCAAGGAGCTGCCCCCATTCACTTACCCACTGAGGTCCCAGAACCTTGGATAGCACCCAGGAGCCACTTTCTCCCTGCTCAGGGGTCATGACAGGCCAAGCCTCAGTGCTTCCCCGAACCGGCACCCAGACCTAGCTGCCCTACTGCACTGTCAATCAAAGAACAAAGGACTACACTCTCTGGGATCTGCCTGAAGCCACCCCAGGAAGCTGCCCAGACCATCCCAGGTGTGGCACCGCTAACAAACTATGGAGTCAAAAGCAGTTCTGCCCCATGCTTAGTAGTGAGCAATGATCACTCGTGAACTATGATGGAAACCAAATGAACTAATCTGTCTTTTAGTTTTCTTTCTTTTTTTTCTTTTTCTCTTTGGCCTCTCTACTGAGTTCTATCCCCGGGGCAGTAAAGAGTGCACACTGCTCTTTCAGAGGACAGAGTTTGGTTCCCAGAACCCACATCGGGCCATTCACAATCACTGTGACTCCAGGGATCCAACACCTCTGGCTTCGGAAGGCACCTGGACTCATGTACGTGAAACTCACATGCATGGGCATTATTAAAAGTAATAAAAATATCTTTACATTTGCAACCAAATAGAGCAAGTGTGTCATGCAGCTCCACACATCCATTTTCCAGTTTTTCTACTGTTTTATTATTGTTTTCTAAATGTCATGTTTGAAGGACTGGCCTTTTTTACCTACTGTGATATCCCTTCTCATAGTCTACACATTCGCTTCCCTACCTAATACTGTATCTACAACTTTAAATCCTTTTTCTTAAAGCGCCCTGCCCCCCATCGAGTCAGCTTCTAGACTACAGAAACCTGCATCCTTCCTGAGCCAGGCCAGGCCAAGCTGGGCTAAACCATTCTCCAGCTGTCTTTCAATTCCGCCTCAACGAGCCTGTCATGTAACTCTATTATTAATCCCATTTTGCAGAAAAGAAACCAGGCTCAGGAAAGTCAAGCAACCTGCTCCTGTGCTCAACACACAGTGCTCGGGCTGGGCACCTGCCTCCGAGGCCCTGTCAGTCATCTCGGAAAGACTCGAGTCTCTTTAGGCCACTCAGGATCACCACGTTGTGACTGACCCCAAACTGGCCAAACACCAGCTAGGGTCGGCTTCTCCTCAGATCAGCTGGGGGGCCTGACTGGACCCCTCTTCTGCCACTAGCCAGGGATCTCCTGTGTGTTCCTGGTGTGGGGGCGTCCTCACTTGTCCTACCTCTCCACTTCATGGTGGCCAGTGGTCACTGTGGTGACAGAGGCTCTCTGGCTGAGACCAAACCTGAGCGGAGGGGTAACCGGCGCAAGGGCGCTGGACATGCTCAGAAGCCATGGATCTTAATTAAGGTCACAGCGTCTGCCCCCAGGCCTTGTTCTCGGCTGTGGGGAAGTGTCAGGGTTGGGGGGGCATTTTATTATAAAGTCCCCCACGGGGAGAAACACAATATTCTTGGTTCCCAGCACCCACATCACAACTACCTATCCATGGTCAATTGTTACTCCAGCCAGCACACACCATCACAGGCAACACAACCTTTCTAAGATGTGTGCATCTCACTGACTCCACCCCAGTCTCCTTCAGGAAGCCTAAAGCCAGGATCCAGCTACCATTTTTCCTGGCTACCCCAATCACTCTTCAAAGCTTTTCTACAGCAGGAGACATGTTAGGGGAGTGCTGTGCTGTCCCAAGAAGGCTCAGCACTGTTCCACAGTGCCCTGCCCCCACACAAGGCTCAGCTCCTGCCCTGCACTATCAACTCGAACCCCACACAGAGAACTCCGGGCTACAGCCTTGATTGGCACAGCACTGAGCCCTGCCAAGAGAAGCGGATGAAATGGAACTTGCAGCCAAGTCCCTGAGCCCCGTTCCACCAACCCCTGCTTCCAGCCACTGACAAAATGACAACCAAGCTACACAGGGGGCCAGGGAAGGGTCAGGGAGAGAGCGAGGATCCCCCCTTGGTGGCCATTTGGTGGCCGGACAGTAGCTCCTGGCAGCCCAAGGCTGGCAGACAAAAATCCTTTCAACAAAGCACATACCTCATCGTCCACTGTGTTCCCTCCGGAGCGAATGGCAAAGTTCTATTGAGCTCCGGCCTGCGGGAGGCAGGGCCAGAGGAAGGGAAGGTGCAGGGTTCCAGCTCCTGTCAAAAGAATAAACAGCTGTTTCAGGAAGGGGGGGTGGGCAGACAGATCCCGCAGGAGCAGCCATTGGCTTTGTTCCCTCAGCCCCGGGAAATGGGCTGTTGACTCAGAGCGACATGCCAAGGCAGAGCTGGTGCTCTGGGCCGTCCTGACTCCCTCAACGGGAGAGAAACTACAGGGACCAAACCAGGCCAGGACTCACAGGAGAGGAGGTCACCACCCTCCACCTCGTCCACTCCGGGAAAACCGGGAGCCGTGGGGAGTGCAAACATCCTCAGGTCCCACCTCCCAGGGACAGCCAAGGACAGCGTATGAGACAGCCCAGAGCAGAGGCCCGTGAGCGGACATTTGATGAGATGTCTAAAAGTGATTCTGAGAAATTCTGAGAAAGCTCTTCGTCCACAGCCTGACTCTGGAAGCCGAACTGTTTTGTGGAACCGTGCTTCAGAAAATGACATGAATCTCCATATAGAAGTCCTTACTATATAACCTTGGAAAGACCACAGAGGCCCACACCTGCTCCTGAAGGGACAAGGCTTGTCCCTTCCCACCCCACTGGAGGCAATTTAAGGAGGGGGATTTCTGGCTAGGGCCTTTTTCTTTCTTATTTTCCCCTTCTTTTCGAGACAGGGTCTCAAGTAGCCCATGAACCCACTGTGCAGCCAAGGATGGGACTGCTGGCCCTCTTGCCTGTCTGTCCATAGTACTAGGGTGATAGGTGTGCACCCCCACATCCAGTTACGTGATTTGAGGGATGGAACGCAGGGCTGTGTGCATGCTGGGCAAGCCCCATCAGCTGAGCTGCAGATGGCACACACTGGCTCAAGCAGAGAGGTGACACTCAAGGCCCCTGCCTCATTCCCTCCCCAAGTGGCGGGGACACTGCCGGGAAGCCTGGGAACCCCAGATGATGGGAAGGGACCAATGCCAGACAGGAAGGAGTCAAGGCCTGGCTCCAGGTCACTCAGCCTCCTCCTCCTCTTCTCAAAAGGAAGTGTCACGGCTTCCTCCTCTGAGGGCAGGAGCCAGTTGACCCCCACCTTCAGGGACTGGAAGTTCTTCCAAACAGCTGCCTTAAGTCCTTCTGATGACGTCCATTAGACCCACAGGCACACAGGCCTGCGACAGTCATTCTGCTCTCAAATCTACTCCCAAGAGATGAGCATCAGAACATAACACATCCCACACCAGACCCAAGGCCCATCAGAAAGGGTAAGTTACCACCAAGTGCCACAACGGCATCCTATCTGTAACAATGAGAATCAGCAAGCTGCAGCCACGTCCCATCAACAGAAAGACCTCAACACTCGGTACGCAGTGAAAGGAACTGACCCATAAGGACGCACCCAGGGTCGGGCATGGCGGTGCATGTCCATGATCCCAGCACTTGGGAGGGTAGGGCAGGGGGGCAGGGTTCCAAGGCCAATCTTGGCTACATGGTGTGTTTGAGGCCTGTAAGCATCGCAGCTCAGGCGGAAAGGGGTCCTGGCAGCCAGGAGCCAAGGAATACTACAATCACACCACACAACAAACCTCACACAAGAGATTTATTGGGAGGGAATAAAACCAGGAAGGTGGCTGCCTCTGTTTGGGCGAGAAACAGCAGCATACTGAACAGGATACAGAGCTTATATAGAGTTTCTTGGGAAGGGGGTGGAACTTTTCAGGGTAGAGTTTTCCAGGGTGGAGATTGGTGGGATTTCATGTTCAGAGACTGGGCTTTTTACTCTGTAGGGTGGGGAGGGTCCAGCAGTTAGAGCATTCTATGGGTGGAACTTGGCAGTTGAGGTCCTTGGGGAGGGGCCTAGACACTCATGTGGCTCCAGGGGCTTACATTCCCCCCTTTTTTGTTTATTATTGATAAACAACTAGGTCACAGGAAAGGGGGTTGATATTATCATTAGACTACTTCCTAATCAGTGAACTGGATCTTTACCATTGGTATAATCAGAAGTCACTGGCCTCTGGTTCTGGAGCTAGGGGATGGTCATCCTGTAACAGCAACTGATTAAAAGTCTGGTTAGAGATCTTTAGAGTCTGTTGCTGAAATCTAGACAAGAAGTTTATAAGGCAGGGTGCAACAAGCAGGATTAAGAAAAGCAGAGAAAGGAGGTCAAGAAGGGTAGTGTCCAATTCCATACTGGACTGTCCATAAGCCGGTGGCCAGAGCTGTTTCTTACATTTTTGGAGATCCAACTGGAATTGTCGGATCTTGCCTTTTAATACACCTGACTTGGTTGATATAGAAGCAACATTCCTCCCTAAGGAGGAGACCAAGACTACCTCTCTCTGCTGTTAGTGAATCTAATCCTCGCCAATTTTGTAAGAGCATGGTGGCCAGTGAGTCTACTTGGCCCTGGAGGGTAAGAATGGTCTGGTCCACCCGTTGGAGATGCTGGATGAACTGAGAGGAAACCAATGGTAAATAGCAGGGAAGTGGTCAGCCCTGAGTATAGGCACCTAAGGGTAAGTGTTAGCGCTGGAGGGAAAGGTATCTTCTCACACCTGTGTGGCTTTCGTAGTAAAAGTAAAAAAAGCAGAGGGGGGGGGTCCGTAGTGACACTTACCCATTAGAAGGGGAGAGACAAGTGGTTAGAGCAGGTAGAGGAGAAAATAGTTGGGGAAGTGCAGGTGTTTTAGTAAGTAGAACTGCACAGTGCTGGGCCCTAAGAGCTGCTGTGGGAGCATGCCCAAAGGGCATAGAAGATTCTTTTTCAAAAGTTAGGAGATAAGAGGCTTAAGTCCCCTGAGGCTATGGAGGGAGGGTTGGTATTGATCCCGGGTGATATGTTTAGTGGGATTTGACGAGGCTGGTAAAGCTGTCACCCTACACTGACAATAGGGGAACAAGAAGATGTGAGTCCCTAAAACTCTGTCAGGACTGAATAGGTGGCCCCAGTGTCTAGAAGGAGGGAGATGGATCTCCCTGATACTGTGATGTCTATCCGAGGCTCCCAGTGAGAGATGGCAATGGTCAGGCCAAGGGAGCCCGGGCCCCTCAGTCATCCATGGCCAGATCTAGGTCAGCTGAAGGGCCACCTGGGCAATCAACACCCCAATGTCCTTCTTGATGGCACCTTGTATGTGGTCTGGGTGGTTTATGAAGGATCAGACAGGCCCGGGCCCAGTGACCCTCCTGACTGCATTTGAAACAGGGACCTGGAGGTTCTTGGGTGTAGGGAGGCCGGGGAGCCTGGGCAGGTGCTGTGGCCGGTCGAAAGGCCTTTGCTAGCACCAGGTATTTTTGTTTTCAGGCTTTTTCATCTCTCCCATGGTACATCTTAAAAGCCATTGCTAAGACCTGTGCCTGAGGAGTCAGGGGTCCTTTCTCTAGACATTTAAGTTTGGCCCTGGGAGAAGAAGTAGGTCATAAAGAGTTGTTTCCATCTGGGGTCTCAGGATCCAGGTTGGTATACTGTAAGAGGGCCTTTGTAAGGCAGTCTAGGAATTGAGATGGGCTGTCATGCTTGTCCTGGATGATCCCTTGGATTTTTTCATAATTTACTTCTGTAAGGGTGGCCAGGCAGGAGGCAACTTACAAGTTGAAACCTAGCATGGATGCCCTCTGGGGTACTGTAATTCCATTCAGGGTCCTGGTCAGAGACTGCCTCAGTCCTGACTGGGTGGGCAGCCTGTCACTGAGAAGGAAAGGAAACCAGAGAGGCTGGACAGGAAGAGAAGGGACTGTGGGTTGAGGCTTGTTAGTGTGACCAAAAATAGTAAAAGAATCATCTGCTTTGGGCCTCACAGCTAGGAAGAGCTGTTTTTCCTTGGATGGCTTATGTCATATGGTCACTTTTATCAGGATGGGAGTGAGGTCACACGGCAAAGTCCACCCTTTCCAACCCCAGCGAAGATGGTTTTCAGCCACATGGCTGCCTCCATCCCAGTGTAGGGAAAGCAGCTACGATGGCAGAGAGCCACATGTTTCCTTTAAGATTACCTATGTAGAGATTTTTATTTATCAAGCCTGGTGTTACAACTTTAACTCTTTTGTTACAGATTTTACAGATTTTTAATCATACTCAGTATGCTTACAAATCTGGAGGTAAGATTTATACCTTAGCAAAAGTTTTAGAGAGTTAAACCAAAGCCAAAGGTGTAAGAGATGAGCAGCAATGGTCCCCGGTGGGAAGAGTCTGTCCCTTGATTTTGTTTTGCTCTCCTTTCTCTGTCACACAGCAGGTGGCTCTCCTGATATGGGACAGAGGTTTTGGAAGAAACCTTTAACAGTCTAGAGGAAGAGGAGCCATACCCTAACTCTAGAGCTAGATTTTAATGCAAGTGGGACAGCATAAAACAGTCTAATGCCACTCATCCCTAAAAGACAGTCGAGTCCCTGTAAAACAGAATCCAGTAAACTGAGAACAAAGAAGGCTTGGAGACAGGTGATTTCTGAGCTCTGGCTATAGACAGAGGATGCTGCAAGAGGGAGCTGAAGCCCCAGGCAGTGTGTGCCTGGTGTGTGCGGGGTGTGTGCCGGGTGTGTGCACGCTGCTGCTGGCCTACTCCTTTGCTTTCTCCCCCTCATGCTAGGTCTGGTTCCTGGCTCCCACTCCGCGACAAACCTACAGATCCATCTATGGTAATGTAAAAGACAGGGCACTGCCGGGCAGTGGTAGTAGTGTACGCCTTTAATCCCAGCACTTGGGAGGCAGAGGCAGGCGGATCTCTGTGAGTTCGAGGCCAGCCTGGTCTACAGTGTGAGTTCTGGGACAGCCAAAGCTACACAGAAAAACCCTGTCTTGAAAAACCAAAACAAAGAAAAGGAAAAAGACAGGGCATTTACACAGTGTGTGGGTGTGTGTTGGGGGAGACCAAACAAAACAAACAGGCTTGAAGCTGAGAAATAGGGAATGGGGAATCTCTTTCCATTTCCCGATCACTCACAGTATTTGTAAAAGTCTCAAATATTAGGACCTAAGGTGCCATCGAGCAGCCTTCCGGATTGATTATCTAAGGGGTATTGAAGCCAAATTTGATTGCAAAAGTGAATAAA